GTAAAGAAGTATTAATGCAGAAAGAATAAAATTACTCTGAACACCTGAAGAAAAAGGGGCATAAATAATGCATTACTTCTTTTCTCCCCAGGAAAAAGTTAGGAAAAAAGCATATTTCTGGTTATTTCGGAATAGGTTAACACAATTATTTTAAAAAGAAAAGTCAAGTTTCCTGGTTGAGACAATGTAACAAGACACTTGCCACTCCTCACGTTTATGGGCTTGTCTGTGATGCCTTCTTTAGGCCTCCTGTTCACCTTTAAAAGGAAAATACCACTACCTACTTCACAATGTTGTTGTGAGTACTAAAGGAAATAATGTATTAAAGGAAATAACATGTTAAAGTAAATTGCTGGCACACTGCTTGGTACGGAGAAGGTTCCCAGGATAACTCCCTTTACCTTTGAAGTATAACAAATCATAATTCATTATACTATAGTATATGTCAAAACTTAAAATACAATCAATTAACCATAGCAAAGGCTTGCATTTCAGCCTCTGCAGGAAAGCAAGTCCAAAACCATGTGTATCTAGATTGTCCGCTGTGTCCTCCCAGCCGCATTCCCCATCACGCATCCAGAGCCTGGCTCTTTTCCAATGCTCCTGCCTTGGCTCTGGACTGTAATAGGGTGTTGGGGCAATAATGATGGCAGCTACCAAGTGCTAAGCCTTTAGACAATCATCATTTAACCCTAACCACAACCCACACTACAGGGGAAACTGAGGCTCATAAAGAATAAATAACATGTCTGGGGTCTCCCCGTAGGCAAGTGGTAGAGAGATGCTGTGCACAAGGGACACTAGGTGGTGAGAAAGTGGTCCTGTTGGCAACAAAAGTGTCCTGATCTTGACCTCAATGGCTTAGATAACTCCCAGAAAACAGATGGATAAAGCTCTATTTCATTTTTGCTAAAATGAACATTTATGAATATTTGTGAATTTTGTTACAACACAAGGAAAGAGAACAGAATTTATGACTTGTAATTGAGTACTTAATATCTAGCAGACAAGGGGTACTTAATATCTGGCATGATATTACATCAATATCTGAGTGATAATCATTATTACTAAATAGGGAATCTCCATCTCCTAACTTTAACGATGTACCAGACCGGTATATACTTCTGACATTCAAAATATCAGTATTTCTGATATTCAAAATCCTTGTATTTTTTTGCTAGAGATTATTAGATATCTTAGGAAAAGTCTATGATGATTTAAAGCTATAGTTTCAACAGAAGTCCACAATCTTCATGAAGTATCAAAATCAGCACCGAGCAGGGAAGAGACCAACATGGAGGGGCGATGCATTTATTCTGTTCCTCTGGTACTGTAATCCAGGCTCTATCCCAAAACAAATTGATGACTTAAAGTATATCTTATTCTACTGGCTAAAATTTAGAGTCTTCCTTCTGGTTTTTTACAATTAAAATGGTAAAAGAAAAGAGATTTAGAGAGGTGAGCTACCTCTGGGCACCCCGGGGCCCTAACTACCAAGTTAAGACTAGAACAGCGCACTCTCCATGCCCCACCCTGCCCCTCAATCAATCAATCGCTAAATAAGCTGAGAAGTATTTCTTCCCACTCCCGTCCTAAGGCATTTGCAAAGGCAGCTCCCTCTTCCCAGAATGCTTTACCGTAGATATCCACAGATCTAATCCCCTCACATCCTTTACATTCTTGCTCAAATATCACCTCATCAATGGGGCCTGTCCTGACCAAATTCCAAGCCTGGTCACAAGCAATTCCCCTAGTCTACATCTTCTCCCAAAACTCCTCCCGCCTCTTAACACTCTCCGTGACCTACTGCATATGTTTACTGTCTGCCTCGCCGTGCTAGACTGTAAGCTTTATGAAAGAAGAATTTTTATGTATTTTGTTCACCAATTGGATTCTCGAACCCCTAGAACAGTGCCCTGCATATAGCAGGTGCTCAGTAAATATTTGTTCAATAAGTGAATTAAGATACTTTGAACCGAGAATGTTTAAACAATTAAATCTCTTCATTAGCTAC